ATATGCCAGTCTAATAATTTACCACAGTCTTCTACCAAATTCAAATGAGCATTGCATCATTCCAAGAGCAAAACCTTGATTTGTCACCACCTCTCTTTTGAGACCTCATAAATATTTTATCAGAATATTCTGTCTGGTGAAAAAAAGGTGATTGATCTGTTTTGTCTTCAACAGTGTAAGCCGAAGTTCTCGAACCTGTCATATCCCTTTGCATACGTAAGTACAATGTCCCTGGGTTGTTTCTACTTTCTACATTTTTGATGAAGCCCAAGCAATCCATCTCTCATTTTCTGAAGCAAGAGTTTTAGATGGCCTACGTTATCTAATCTTAAGGTGTTTTCTGGTGCCAAGGGAGAGCACGTGCTTGAGGGTGACTCTAGCCTTTTACCTGTAAACTAGAAATCAGGATCTATTATGTCCTCTTTGGAAGACTATCCCAGTCTGATTATGGGCATAGCCAAAAGGACAAGAGATGACACATTTCTATCTTATTCCCATTCTTCCCAAGCCTCCTCTCTGCACATATGTACTAGAGCTGTCATTTGTTATGTGCTGCAAGTTCAGCAGATGATTGTTTTCACCTTGGGACGTGCCAAGCACACAGGGCAGTTCAGCTCCGTGTTTTTTCTTGTGGACCATTTTAATAACTAACTACAATTTTGGAGCATGAAGTATATAGTTCAGCTGCCTCCACCAGCTGTCTTATGAATAATGTACATATCTTTGATTTCCTTTCTATCCAAACAGTGGCTGTGTTGGTGCAGTAAATTTTGAAAACATTGACAATGCCAAAGTAGATTTAATCCCACTTAACTCTGTGCAAACTTCAAAGCCTTGCTACACAAACACTGTGCAGTATGTTTCTCCTATTAGCATGATTTTGATACTGCTTCTTGAGTTCTTGTTACTTGGGAAAGGGGAAAAAACAGTTAAAGATCTGGTCTTGGGCCAAAAGAATGAAAAAAAACTGCGGGGGGGGGCGCTCCTTATTCTTACTAATAATTTGAATGAGGACTGTTAACACAGGAAGCACAGTGGACTTTCAGATTCAAGGTTGAACTTGAAGAGTCCTTTCTAATAACTGAGTCAGTAGTAAATGACCTACAGTGGTAACTGCCTACAGTGGTCAGTGTAGGTCTGTATGAATCTAAGGGATCATTCAGCCTACATATACAAAATTCGTCAAGGAAGCTGATACAAAATGAGCAGAGAGATGTCTACTGAGATGATGGTATAACAGATTTTATCCATCTACTTGTGTTATGGTAAGCTTAAATGCAACCTGTTTTGACTAAGTATGAATTTGTCATAGAACATTAAAGCCTGATTCTTTATCGTATCACATTAGTGTTATAGTTTTAGGGAAATTATGCTCCTAACACCATGCACCACGCTTTTCAACCAGAAATGTTCATTACGGTTTTTTTCCATCCAGGGGTTGCTCTGTGGCCCAAGTGACCCTGCCATCAATCTAGTACAGAATGGTCATAATGGACTGACCATAACTGACTGTCGGACCAAAAGCTACCCTTAGTTGTGCCCATCTTGGGAATTAAAAGCTGCCTGTGGTAACGCCAATGCAATATACTGTCTTGGTATAATGAACTCTTCATGATCAGCAGACTCTGACCTAGGCTGGGATGAAAATCAGAGTATACTCTCCCTCCTGCTGTTAAGCTTGCTAGACTAATTCCACAACCAAGTTTTAAGAACTCAGCAGGCACCTTGCCCTTTTTATCAATTGAGAAAGGCTGCATGTGAAGGTAGCCTGAGCTCATCTGCTAGATCATACCCCAAAACATTCGACTCATAGCTCCTAAAGATGCTGACACTACCTAACACAGGAGCTCAGCAGCAGAAAATAGATTTGTGTTACATTCAAGGCTCAAGTGGGGAGGACATGGAAGAGAAGGTTCTGAGCTTAGCATCACCAGGAATTTCTGCTGATGTCATTCTGAATACAGTCCTTCCAAAAAAACTATGTTTATTTTCAAACTATGACATACTTTCATACTTCAAACGCTTCCTGTTCTTTAGTATTAATAACAGGTCTGTTGGGTAAAAGTACATGTGCCATTCTTTGATTGGTACTGTGACTTGAATATTGCTGTTAAAACTGTGTGATTTTTTACTTTAGCCACTAGATGGCCTTTGAGTTTGCAAAAGCTCCCTGAATGCCATTAGGAACACCTCCTGACTTTTAGCTAGAGCACGAACTTTGACATGCAAAGGTTTTCACTTTACACCTTTCCTAAAGTTCTCCTTAGCAGCTTGAGCTGGTATTAAGCATTTATTTGCAAACTTTTGAGCAAGTAGAATGGTACAAGTAGCAATGTAATGGTAAGAACTAAAAATGGTAAAACAAAAGAGGAAAGAGTCTGTTCTGTTTACTTAATCAGATTTTCTCTTTGTATAGGCCTTTCCTTTCTGTCCTTTCAGTGGTCTTGCACAGTCCACATCTGTGAGGAAACTACAGAAGGGATACTTTGTTGGGCGAAGCAGAGTGAGAGAAACTGTAAAAATATTTCCCTCTCTGTTCTGAAGAAAAGGCATAATGCTGGGCCTTATTCCCATAGGGCAAAGTATGTCCTAAACATTCCTAGTTGCTGGGAGCTGCCTTAGAAGTAGCTGGTATTTTTGAGCTCCACCTTAAGTCTGTTCATTTCTGTTTCTTACATCCGTTTCAGGGAGAATTCATATTCTTTTGTAATGCATCACATGCTGCCACACTTGTGAGGAACGGCACATCATTCTTCACACAGCCTTACTCACTACAGCAGTAGGTTCACAGGCAAAATAAGGTGCTAAGCATTGTACGATGGTCAAATTTGACTCATATTACTGCAACCAAGCCTATTAATGTCGAGCTCTTATGTGCATAATGTACCGTTCTGATTGTTTTATCTCACCTCTTGCACAAGTCATCTGATTTCTCACAGCCTTCATCTAACTTGTAACTTCTGCTTGAATTAGAATATAAAATACTATAAAACTACTATTGAGAAATGTGCTTTAAAAATACAGCACACATAGCATACAACATAGTGCTGAACAGAAATTTCTGAATTTGAAGGGAAGTTAGCAGAGCTATTAATCCTTAGTTCTGCCATGTCATACTGCTGTTGCTGTAGAGCTTTGCAGAACAGAAGCTGTGTACACTGTGCTGCAGACAGACATCTTGTCTGAAACTATTTGCAGCATATGGTATCATGGTGGATATATAAGTTTCAGCAACAGGTTCTGTATTACCTCCTCTGGTATTCTCCATGTCATTTTCCTGGGTTTTAGAGAGTGAGGCCATTGAGGGTTTCATTGATTTCTGGCAACAAGGAGACCAAGATCTCTGAGACCTAAAAGATTCTGACATCTCAAAGATGTGAAAAACTCGATTCCACCTGAAAAATTCTATTAAGTTCCTCATAAAATGTATTTATTCTCTCTGATTGTCAGACATCAAGTTTGCTATGAATGTAAGCAGAAGAAAGAAGAAAGTCAGAAAGAAGACATAAAAGTGATCCGTATAATTTTTTTTTTTCACTTTGTGTGTTTGCCAGTAATTCTGGAAAGACGTGTAAAGGTATTAAAGCTGCTACACTCCCACCAAAATCATTGAGAAGTTAGATACATGCTTTGGATTTAGAAGCCTAAATATGCTTTGTAAGTCTGTAAAATGTAAAAATCTCTTTGTAGATAGTCACTTTCACTCGTTCATGGACTAGCAGTTGCACTTCCTGCCTCTAGCACTTGGGCACAGCATCAGCACTCAGGCATTACTCCAGAGTGAGACACTATTCTTCCCCAGACCATGCAAGAAAGTGGTTGCCATTCAAATTATTAGCAAAGCTGAAACTAGCTAAGAGTCATCTGTCATGTAATTTTGCAGAGACAAACAGGAAGAGTGGTGAACCTGGGCATGTTTTGTATGTTACCCTTGCGCCCACCCTCTCTTCCTTTTGGCAGAACAGGAAACCATCTTCTGTTTTTCTTCTTTTTTCTTAAGGAATTAGAAAAAAGATAAAAGTCATGACTTATGCTGCAGTTGAGCCTAAAAGCCTCTAGTATAAGATCAGCATTGTGAAAAGCTGCTGTGCATATACCCAGCACTCTAGATAATACTCTGAAGTCCTTACCGTGCAATTTGGAAGTTTTACAGGTGGGAATCCAGGTGCAGTGGGATTAAGTAGTTTGCCAAATCCCATTGCGAATCTGTAGCCCTGTTAGGAATGAAACTTCATGTATCCCGAGCCCTAGCCTGTGTCTTGTTTTTTACCAAGCTCTGAGCTTTAAGCTATTGAAATGGTGCTTTGCTGAAACTTGGTTTTAAGAAGTATAATTAGCACAAAATTATGGCCTTAATCCTTAAAAGTTAGGCTGAGACACAAGTGAAGACTTAGGAATCTAAGTAATTTTTAATCCAGTTTTTCTCTGTGGTTCAGACATGGAATAGCTGTAGGACCCTTCATCACAGGTAAAAAACCATGTCATAAGTTTTGTGACTCATCTAGAAGTGCTAAATTTATGAATCTGAACTTATTAATCAAAACTATGTTCATGATCTGGTGACAGTCTAGGATGATCAGTGGGCATTTCTCTAAGGGAGCTGTGGAAGTGCTTTCCTCAGGTCAGACTCTTCATCTTCACACTTGACCAAAGATCCTGGATGGTAATTCAGTTCCCCTCATTCTTTTCCAGGCTTTCATTAAGCCTGTCTTGGGGGGAAGGGATCAATTACATCATCTTTTGAGGTCTGTTCCAGCCCTGGAATGTAGCATCGATCTTAATATCTTTGGTTTGTGTATGCACTCGTGAATCTGCTTTAGGATGAACTTGTTCCTCTCTTTCATCCATGGTTATATTGCAATGCATGCCTCAAAGCTGGAATCTTCTATCATTTCTTTGCCAAGGGCAACATACAAATTTTTTAAAAAGAAGAGCCAGTCAAAAAATTAGGAAGTTGTTGTGAAAAAGCACTCTGAAAATCTCTTTCTAATGCAGCCCTTTTTCACCTACAGATCTCCAAAAATCTTTTATAAAACCTACCATAATCTGTTTTACAACTCAGTGCTCCATCAAGTGGACTACATTGTCAGAGCACAGGAGTTGTAGTCTTGAATCACATCTTTTTATGCCACTAACTAGCGAGGTTCCAAAATGAATGCCCTGGTGCATTTTTGTATTTTCATCGTATGTTGCTTTTGTAATTTTGTTAGGTGTACTGGATGACAATTGTCCAGTGGATTGAGTGACTTCTGTTGTATTTTTTATTTTACTGATTTTTTGTGCGTAGTTTCTTTTTCTTGTGGGTTTTTTTCCCTACTTTCTCTACTTGTCTGCCTACTTTAAACTCTCTTCCTGTATTTGCTTTCTTTTCTTTCAAACCCATGAAGTGTAAATGCCATTGGAATCAATGAGTTAAGGGTATCTGCTTAGCAAGATATCCTGAAGAGGGATAGAACTGAGTATCTGTTCATATATTTTGCAGAACTGAGACCTCTGCGATTTTGTTTTCCTTGGTTATTTTTTCTTTGTTTCTTACTGATTTGATTATGAATTATTTGCTTATAATATTTATTTATTTGTGGAAGATGAATACTGCATTTGGTTTTATATGTCACATAGCTAACCATATACTAGGTAGGGAAGCAACTGAGAGCTAAAGAGTATGTTTTGTGCAGCCAGCCAGGCTTTCAAAAATAGCTTGGCAACCACACATGAAAACCAGAATTCTGAAAGAGCTCACATTCTGGGCGCACGTTGATTGCTAAGCTCCTGTGAAAATCTGGCCACAAACACCACAATGAAACTTTTAGGTGCTGAGCACTTCTAAAAAATCTGATCCCCTGTGTGTAACTGCT